GCTGCTGCTGCTGCTGCTGCTGCTGCTGCTGCTGCTGCTGGTCGTGCTGCAGCGAGGCGGCAGCGGCGGGCCTGCAGGGGGCTGCCGCTGCTGCTGCTGGGCGTCGGGCTGGGGTTGCTGCTGCTGCTGCTGCTGCTGCTGCTGCACGCAGCTGTCCTGTGGCTGCTGGTGCTGCTGCTGCTGCTGCTGCTGCTGCTCGTAGCTTTCCTGTGGCTGCTGCTGCTGCTTCTCGTAGTTTCTCTTTGGCTGCTGCTGCTCCTCGTGGTTCTCCTGTGGCTGCTGCTGCTGCTCGTAGCTTCCCTGTGGCTGCTGCTGCTATCCCTTCTGTGGCTGGTGCTGCTGTTCTTGCTGGGGCTGCTGCTGCTGCAGCAGCAGCAGCTGCTGCTGCAGCAAACTTGGCGAATAGGCTGCAGTGTATGTACACCTCAGGCACGGAGCAGCACGCGGCGATAGAAATGCGCTACCATTTATACTGGCCCCTTGAAGTTGAAAACATACAAGACGTGGGCTGCTGCTGCTGCTGCTGCTGCTGCTGCTGCTGACCTTGTTTCTCAGGTGCTGCTGCTTGTGTCTGTGCTGCTTCTGCAGTTCTTGGGCTTCAGGCTGCTGAATTCGCTGCAGCAGCTGCTGCAGCTGCTGCGCCGCGGCTGCTGCCGAGAAGTATATCTTCTCTCGGACGCATATCCAGAAGCACCCAGCAGCAGCAGCAGCAGCAGCAGCAGCAGCAGCAGCAGCAGCAAGGAGACTGTGCTGCTGCGCGGAATAATCGACGAGCTGAGTCTCGTCGTGAGAGACCGCGTGGGGTGTACGTACACCCCAGCGCTCGAGCACCTGCAGCAGCTGCAGCAGCTGCAGCAGCGCAGCAGCACTGGTTGCGCGAGCAGCAGCAGCAGCGGGAGGGCGCGCTGCTGCTGCAGCAGCTGCAGCAGCTGCTGCTGCACTCTGTGTCAGCTGCAGCAGCTGGAAGCAGCAGCAGAAGTCTATTTGCTCATCAGCGACACCAAAACAAGAAGACAGCCAACAACGCCTTCCATGGCTCAGAAGCAAACTGCAGCAATTCAGCTGCAGGTCAGCAGCAGCACAGCAGCACAGGCCTGCTGCAGCTGCTGCAGCTGCTGCAGCTGCTGCAGCTGCTGCAGCTGCTGCTGCGGCTGTAGCTGCTGCAGCTGCTGCAGCTGCCCCAACGGCCGCAGCTGCTGCAGCGGCTGCAGCTGCTGCAGCGGCTGTAGCTGCTGCAACGGCTGCAGCTGCTGCAGCGGCTGCAGCAGCTGCAGCGGCTGCAGCGGCTGCCTTCTACTTCTTGTTCTTCTGGTGCTTGCTGCTGCTGCGTGTTTCTGCTGCTTGCTGCTGCTGTTTCCTGCTGCTAGCTGCTGCTGCTTGCTGCTGCTGTTTCCTGCTGCTAGCTGCTGCTTCTTGCTGCTCCCGACCGGTGCTGTTGAAGTCCCATCTGTCTCTTTGCAGATGCTGCTTCGCCTGCGGCCTTGTTGCACTGAACTCCCTGCTGCTGCTGCTGCTGCTGCTGCTGCTGCTGCTGCTGGTTGCGCGCAGATATACAACTTCATGGTGCAAACGCTGCGGCAGCAGCAACCGCAGCAGCTGCTGCAGCTGCTGCAGCCACTTGCTGCAGCAGAGGGAGAGGAGGTTTTGGCCCCTTTTGAGTCCCCGCTGCTGCTGGAGGCTCTGCAGCAGACTGAGCAGCAGATTCAGCGCATGCACTGCAGCAGCAAGTACAGCAGCAGCAGCAGCAGCAGCAGCAGCTGCCTCACCGTTGACGAAGCACCCAACCTCAAGACAGTGCTGCTGCTGCTGCAGCAGCTGCTGCAGCGCCTGCCTCCCCCTGCTGACGAGCTGCACATCGTTTACGAGTGCCAAGGTGCCGCTGCTGCTGCTACTGCTGCTGCTGCTGCTGCTGCTGCTGCTGCTGGCCTACAGACTACACCCCCGGTCATTTCTTCGCATGCATCTGCTTCCGCTGATGCCCCTTTGGTGCCTCGGTTGCCGCTGCTGCTTGTGCTTTTGCTTTTGCTGCTGCAGCTGTGTTTGGTGCTGCCGTTTGCTGCTGCTGCTGCTGCTGCTGCTGCTGCTGCTGCTGCTGTGGCTTATTCTGCCTACGCTGTATTTGTTAACGCTAATACTTCGGCCGCCATCTTTTCTGCTGCCTTTTGAATGGTTACTGCTGCTATTGTTGCTTCCACTGCGTCTGCTGCTGCTGCCACTGCTGCTGCTGCTGCTGCTGCTGCTGCTGCTGGCTGCAGGTAAGATCTTTGCCCGCGAGCGGGTGCCGTTCAATTGGGGCGCTTTCTCTTTTGCCTTTTATGATTTGCTGGCCTGGTGGAAAGGAGAAAGACTCACGGAGGGAGTCGGGGTGAGCTGCTGCTGCTGCTGCTGCTGCTGCTGCTGCTGCTGTTGTGGTCCGTGCTGCTGCTGCTGCTGTTGCTGTTCCTCGCGGCGCTGCTGCTGTTGCTGCTGCTGAGGGCGACTCTGCTTGAGTCTCCAGTCTGCTGATTCCCGCCGTGCTGCTGAAAGCAACTGCTCACGCCCGTTCCTGGCGCTGCTGCGGCTGCTGCTGCTGCTGCTGCTGCTGCTGCTACTGCTGCTGCTGCTGCAGAGTTCGGAGCGGTGGAAGTGCCGTTACTGCGAGTTCGTGAGTCACTGCGACATGACGCCGCTCACCCCAGAAGAGAGGCAGCAAGCAGCGCAGCAGCAGCAGCAGCAGCAGCAGCAAGAGGAGGAGCTGTTTCTGCAGCAGCAGAAAGAACAGCAGCAGAAAGAACTGCTGCTGCAGCAGCAGCAACGCGACACAGACCGGCAGCAGGAGATCCACCAAGAACAGAAGGAGAATGCCAAGCAGCTCCAAGCGCAGCTGCAGCAAGATGAGGACACAGTGCGCCTCAAAGAACAGCAGCAGCAGCAGCAGCAGCAGCAGCAGCAGCAGCACAAGGTTAATGAAACAGCCACCAAGCGGGAAGAACAACAACAGCAGCAGCAGCAGCAGCAAGCAGCAACAAAGAGAGTTTCTCTTCCCCCCTCTTCAGTAGACAGCAGTCTGGTTGCAGCACTAAGAGCTGTAACGAGCGGCGGCCACATCCAGAAGCTCTTCCCGCAGCAGCAGCAGCAGCAGCAGCAGCAGCTGCTGCTGCAGCAGCAGCAGCAACAGAGACCAGGGCATAGTGGAAGTCCCTGTACCCCCTTTCCGGGCCTGCAGGAAGCAGTTGCTGCGCTCAAAGGACCGACAGCAAAGCCGGCAGCAGCAGCCGCAGCACCCCCTACTGCTGCTGCTGCTGCTCCTGCTGCTGCTGCTGCTGCTGCTGCTGCTGCTAGGCGCGGAGCAGCAGCAGTTGAAGCGCAGCTCCGCAGACGGGGGTGGCCAGTGGCCAGCGGGGCCGAAGGCTGTAAGGCTCCTGCGCAGCAGCTGCCGGCCCCGCAGTGGCCCAAAAAGCAGCAGCAGCAGCAGCAGCAAAAGAGGCAGCAGCAGCAGCAGCAGCAGCACCTCGTGGCCAAGAAACGCAGTGGGCGCATCACAGACTTCTTCTCCTCTCTGAGCCCCAAAGTGCACCAAGTAGAGTCAAGGAGTCATCCGCAGTAGTTCTGCTGCTGCTGCTTGCTGCAGCAACCGCAGCTGAGAACGCCGCAGCAGCAGCAGCAGCAGCAGCAGCAGCAGCAGCAGCAGCAGCAGCGGCTGCTGCTGCTGCTGCGGCGCTTTTGGCGTCAGATTGAGGGACCCTCAGCACAACCCTAGCGGCCTGCCCGGCCTGCTTGCCCTCTTGTCTGCCGGCGACTCGTTCGAGGGTTTAGGGTTTAGGGTTTAGGGTTTAGGGTTTAGGGTTTAGGGTTTACGGCCAGGGTGCCAGCTGCTTCGGCTCAATGAGCGGAGCCGTTGTCAAGCCCTGGTTCCTAAACCCTAAACCCTAAACCCTCATAAGCGCAGAAGCCTGCGAGGCCTACGGACTTCGTGCGGGCTCGTTTTAGGGTTTAGGGTTTAGGGTTTAGGGTTTAGGGTTTAAGGGTGGCGGGAATTCCTGCGGCTGCAGGAGGCCCAACAGAGGGAGTTTGGTTGAATTTGGCTGCGCAGCAGCTTCGAGATGAGAAGCAAATAAAAGAAATGAAATAAATAAACAATTTATAAATATTATTTGAAACATTAAAACTTAAAATCCAATTCTGCTGCTTGCTGCTGCTCAGCTGTACAGACAGTCTAGGCGCATGCGAATCCCTAGCGCCACAAATGGCAGCAGCACCTGCTGCAGCAGCACCTGCTGCAGCAGCACCTGCTGCAGCGGCACCTGCTGCAGCAGCAGCAGCTGCAGCAGCACCTGCTGCAGCAGCACCTGCTGCAGCAGCAGCAGCTGCAGCAGCACCTGCTGAAACAAAACCCACTGCAGCAGCACCCGCTGCAGCAGACCCGCTGCAGCAGCACCAGCTGCAGCAGCACCAGCTGCAGCAACAGCCGCTGCAGCATCACTACCTGCAGCAGCACCCGCTGCAGCAGCAGCCACGGCAGCAACACCCGTCGCAACAACGCCAGCTGCAGCAACACCCGCTGCAGCGGCACCTGCTGCTGCTGCTGCCGCTGCTGCTGCTGCTGCTGCTGCTGCTGCTGCTGCTGCTGCTGCTGCTGCTAGGGTTTGGCTTTGACTAGCTGCTCCTCCTGCAGCAGCTGCCTCAGCAGGCGGGCCGGAGAGGCGCGGCGTGTGGGGTTTGGGTGCAGCAGCGCCTGCAGCAGGCGGTGGGCCCTGGGGTCGCTGCTGCAGGTCTTGAAGTTGAGGCGTTTGCTGCTGCTGCTGCTGCTGCTGCTGCTGCTGTCTGCTGCTGAGAGGTAGAGGCGCCGCAGCTGCTGCAGCGTGTCTGCCTCGCTGGCCACAGCAGATATCCCGTAGGGGAGGCGGGCGCTGCAGAAGACATGGAACAGCAGCAAGCCGAGGCCCCAGGCAGTAATTGCTGCTGCTGCTGCTCCCTTCTTTTGCTGCAGCAGCAGCTGCTGCTGCTGCCACACTTCCTTCTCCTTGGCGGGCACTGAGGGGCCGCAGAAGGCCCTCTCGGGAGGCATGTAGGGAGTCCAGGGCAGCTCGAGCTCCTCCTCCCCACAGACCCACCGCTGCTGCTGCTGCTGCTGCTGCTGCTGCTGCTGCTGCTGCTGCAGCGGCTGCAGTGTATGTACACCCTCGAACAGCAGCTGGCCGCTGCTGCTGATCCACGGCGAAGCTGGCCCGAAGGCCCCCAAGTGGAGGCCGGCGCTTTGCAGTGCTGCTGCTGCCTTCAGCAGCTGCAGCGCAACAAACCACTGGCCCTGCTGCTGCAGCAGCGGCAGCTGCTGCAGCCGCAGCAGCGCGTCGGGGTAAACCTCCACCCAGTTCAGCAGCAAATCGTTTCCTGCTGCAGCAACTGTGGGGGAGGGCAGCGCCAGCTGGCCGACCCAGAGAGGCAGCAGAATGTGCTGCTTCGCAGCTTCCAGGGCCTCCCGCTGCTGCTGCTGCTGCTGCTGCTGCTGCTGCTGGGCCGCGTCGTCCAGCCACGGCTCCCGCGGCTGCTGCTGCTCCTCAGAAGTGGTTTGCTGCTGCAGCAAACGCAGCCCAGCCCTTATTTGCTTCTGGCGCTCTTCTGCTGCAGCAAAGGCCTCGTCTTGGACGGGCCCCCGGGCCCTTTGGAACCTGAGGAGGAACTGCTGCGGCTGCGCTGCAGCAGCAGCAGCAGCAGCAGCAGCAGCAGCAGCACCTGCTGCTGCTCTCGCGCTGAAGTGCATGCTGGACTGAGTCTGGTCCCGCAGGGGCCCCAGCAGCAGCAACGGGGGGGCCCCCAAACCCCACAGGGTACTGGAGGCCTCCAGCTGCAGCAGCACGGGGGGCCCCAGTTTGCCCAGGAGTTCTTTGACGAGGCGGGGGGCCCCTTCTGCTGAGACTGCTGCTGCTGCTGCTGCTGCTGCTGCCAGCAAGTCTTGCTTCCCTGCTGCTGCAGCAGACGCCACTGTCTCCAGCCCCGCTGCTGCTGCTGCTCTCGCAGCAGCCTCCGAGGCGCTGTCGCTGCGCGGGTCTTCTGCTGCTGCTGCTGCTGCTGCTGCAGAGCTTGCTGCTGCTGCGCCAGCGGGGGAAGCTGTCGTTGTTGTCGTCGTGCTGCTGCTGCTGCTGCTGCTGCTGCTGCTGCTGCGGGGCGGAGCAGCAGGAAGAAGAGGCAGGAAGGACTTGGACGATCCCTCGATCCCCGCGTCAAGCTCCCCGACCAGCAGCAGGGGTTCGAGCTGCTGCTGCTGCTGCTCCTCCTCCTTCTTCTTCTGCAGCAGCAGCAGCAGCTGCTGCTGCTGCTGCTGCTGCTGCTTCTGCTTCAGGGTCTCTGCTGCCCCCCTTTCTGCAAACTGCCACTCCTTCAGGGCTGCCAGCACGTCTTCCTGCTGCTCCTCGCGCAGCACGCTGTCTGCCGCATCAGTTGCTGTTGCTGCTGCTGCTGCTGTGTCTTGCTGCTGCTGCTGCTGCTGCAGCCGCAGCAAAGCTGCTGCCATCGCCTCCTCCTCCCCCCTGCTGCCCCCCGCCAGCAGCTGCAGCACCTTTTCTCTCCCGTAGCTCTCGAGCGCAGAAGCAACGGCTTCCCCTTCGCTGTCTTGCGGCGCTGCTGCTGCTGCTGCTGCTGCTGCTGCTGCTGCTGCTGCTGGCTGCGCTGCAGGCGGCTCGCGCAGCAGCGCCAGGGTCAGGGGCCCCCGGGGGCCCCCATAGGCCCCGTCAAAGGGCCCCTGGGGGCCCCTCTTGAGTCTCCCCTCGTCTTGGCCTCGCCGCTGCCAGCAAAAGACTAAGCTGCTGCTGTCTGCTGCAGCAGCAGCAGCAGCAGCAGCAGCAAACAGCAGCAGGGAGGGCCTCATTCGCGCGGCGGCGCCAAGTCACAATCCACTAGCCACGACGACTAGCTGGAAGTGCTGCTGCGATTCTGCTGCTGCTGCTGCTGCTGGCGTATCTGCTGCTGCTGCTGCTGCTGCTGCTGCTGCTGCTGCTGAGGCTGAGGAGACACTCCAAGGGACTGCGAGAAGCTGGTGCGACTCATCGGCCTGGGAAGTGCATGTACACCTGGAAAACTTGAAACCGAAAAGCCGAAAACTAAGGGTTTAGGGTTTAGGGTTTAGGGTTTAGGGTTTAGGGTTTAGGGTTTAGGGTTTAGGGTTTAGACAGCGGTTAGGGCAGCGGGCAGGCCAGCGGTCTCTCCAGCGGCCGCTGTCTGCACAGCAGCAGCGGTTCTTCGAGTTTGTTCAAATGGACTTTTTGAATTTAATTTAATTTAATTTAATTCAATTTAATTTAATTCAAAAAAGATATTTCAACGTTAAAGCCGTTGCATGCACAGGCCTCCTGGTCCCTCTGCTGCTGCCGCCGCCGCCGCCGCCGCTGCTGCTGCTGCTGCTGCTGCTGCTGCTGCTGCAGCAGAGCCCGCTGGCTCGCTGCAGCAGCCAGCAAAGACTGCATGCAAATTTGGGCTGAACTTCAATTTGAGGGTTTGGGGGCCCCTGGGGCCCCTGGGGCCCCGGGTGTACGTACACCTCACGCCCCGACTCGCTGCAACGCACGGGGGCCCCCAGCAGCAGCAGGGGGCCCCCAGCAGCAGCAGGGGGCCCCCAGCAGCAGCAGGGGGCCCCCAGCAGCAGCAGGGAGCCCCCAGCAGCAGATGGGGGCCCCCAGCAGCAGCAGGGAGCCCCCAGCAGCAGCAGGGGGCCCCCAAGTCCCCCCAATACCCCAAATAGCCTTTAAATTAATACTTATTTAAAAGGGAAACTGCTTTGGAGGAGCAGCGAGGGCTGCTGCAGCTAGCTGCCGCTGCTGCTGCTGCAGCTAGCTGCCGCTGCTGTTGCTGCTGCTGCAGCTAGCTGCCGCTGCTGTTGCTGCTGCTGCAGCTAGCTGCTGCTGCTGCTGCTGCTGCTGCTGCTTCTGCAGCAGCGTTTCGTGGCTGTTCATCTAAGGTATTTCCTACGCAGCGTCGCTCTACCCGCTAGACGCCGCCTGGTACACACAGCTAGCTGCTGCAGCCAGCGTAAGCAGCTGCAGCAGCAGCTGGCCACGCAGCCACGCTATGGCTAGCTGGCTTAATGCATTCCAGAAGGCGGGTAGGAATCTGGTGGCTGCCTGCAGCAGCTAGCTAGCCCTAAAGGCTAGGGTTTCGGGCCTGGCCCTTGAATGTAGGGTTTAGGGTTTAGGGTTTAGGGTTTGCGACTCGACCTAGGGTTTGGAGTTTTTACAAGTCCCCGCAGGACTATCCTGGGCAATCTGCTCGACCCTACAAGCTAGCTGCCTGACTAGCCCGCAGCGGCCCTGTGGCTGCTGCGCTATTGCTGCCGCTGCGCTATTGCTGCTGCTGCTGCTGCTGCTGCTGCTGCTGCTGCTGCTGCTCACGCACGGCTTATACCCAAAGCATCGTGTTCAAGTTGCTGCAGGCGCCGCCCGCCGGGGGCTGCGGCCCCCGGTAGAGCCTAGAGAACAGTGAATTGGCTCGGCGAAGCTGCTGCAGCAATTTGGCCAGAGAAGTGGCATTCTGCTGCAGTCTGCTGCTGCTGCTGCTGCTGCTGCTGCTGCTCTGCAGCGTGGGGCCCCACAGCAGCAGCACGCGGAAGGAGTTGGTGGCTGCGGCGGCGGTCTTTGAAGTGCATGCAAGAAGTCCGTGGGGGTTTCGCCCGTAGCCGTCGCCCCGCTGCTGCTGCTGCAGCGCCGCCGCGGCAGCGGCGCTGCGGCTGCTGCTGCTGCTGCTGCTGCTGCTGCTGCAGCAGCAGCAGCAAAGCCCCGAGGCTCACATGCAGTCTTCAAACTTGTTTACAATCGGCTCTGCATGCTTCTCCACCATGTAGTCCACGTAAGAGCCCACGCCGGGCAGCACGAGGTCACTGACATCGACGCCGAAGGCGGCCATGGAGCTGCTGGTGGTCTTTGCGGTGATGCTGCGGAGTTTTTCCGCCAAACTTCGCATTTTTTGACGCATTTCGGAGTCTTTTTCGGGATTTTTCTCGCGGATTTCCGCAGCAAGTTCTTCCATTTGGTCCACGGCGTCGTTGAAGTCCTTTTCGCCTTCAATTGCTGCGTCGAAAGCTGCAATTGTTTGCTCGAAAGAAGCAGAAGTGCCCTCGGGCTGCAGTTCCCGCAGCAAAAACTTTATGAAGTCCGAGACGGCGTCGAGCCGCGAGTTCAGACTGTTGCTCTCCTCGCCCAGAAACTTGAACAGCTCCCCCACAGCCTGCAGCCCTTCTGCTGCAGCCTGCGCCGGAGTCTTGGCTTCTGCTGCTGCTGCAGCAGCAGCTCTGCTGGCAGAAGCAGCGAAAGCTCCGCTGGAAAGCAGCAGGCCCGCAAACGGGGCGGCGGCCAGCAGCTGCAGCGCCTTCATCGTGTCAGTGAGCGGGGAAGCGCGCCTTTCGGGGAAACCGACGGAATCTCGCGGCCAAAACAAATTAAACCTTTTATTGTTTACTTTAATTACTTTTTTCGACAGCAAGGACCGCGGGAAACCCCCAGCAGCTCCTCCCCCAACCCGCTCTCCGCCGCTGCCATTCAAGTTCCAGATCCGCCGCACCCAACAAACGTACCAATGCGACGCACTGCCGCCGCCAGACCACTTCAAAGGATTCTGCTGTCTTCTATTCCTTTTTATTTATATTTTTAAATTATTTTGCCTCCTAATCGCGCAAAAAACTCCCCTTTTCCGGCCGGTTTCGCAGACTCGAACCCCGACCGTCTGACGCCTTCCCGGCACGGTGCTGCCAGCCTCGTGTGCGCGGGCTGCCCAGTAGAGCCTGCAAAGCCTCCTCAGCTCTTTATAAAATATAAATAACTTCGAAATTAATTAAGTCAAAATTGAGCGGCGCGAGACTTTGTATATCGCGGGCTGCAGCGCAGCAGCAGCAGCTGCGCGGTGAGGCGCCACTGCCAGATCGCCAACAGGTGGTGGGTGCTGCTGTTCTTGCAGAAGATTTGCTGATTAAAACACCTTTAGAAAGAATATCTTTTAATTAATTGGCTTTCAATTCAAACTATAGACATAACTGGGAAGATCCGCAGCTTTTATTTCCCCCAAGGCGACCTGTAATGCAGCACTCCACTGCTCAGCCAGCCGACAAAAGAGTTCAATTCCAAACTTTTCACGAAAAAAGGACTTGTTTCCCTTTCCAAAAAAATTGAAACAGAGTCATTTCTGAGTTGTCTTAGCCTGATCTTACTTGGCAAGTCTGCAGCGGCTTGGGTCAGTTTTTGTCTTTTCTGTAAGTGGGAGGCACAGCAGCACACAACATCTTTGCTTCTTTCATTAGATTTTCATGTACTTAGGCAGTGCAACTGGCGCCAAATGTGTCAAAAAAGAGGAAAAGAATTCACTTTTCAATAGGCTACAAGTCGGCAGTCATTAAAGGAATAATTAAGCTGGAAAGACGCATTATTGTGCTGCAAGAATGAGGTTTTAGGCTTGCAAAGACACTGCAGCAGTCAGACACATTTTGCTTTGTGTGAGTTAAGACGTAGAGATCAAAACATTTCATTTTGAATGCAAAATGAGGCTTTTCGGCTTTATTTCCATGATTAAGAAAGCAGTGCAGCACTCAAACTTCAACAGACTTTTTCAAAATAAGGCTTTTTGGGTCTATTTTGCATAATTAAGGCAGAAGTGCAAAACCTGAAATTTGTTGCCAAACCTTCTTTCTGCACTATCAGCCACTGAGACTTCTCTATAGGGAGCCTCCCGAAATGTTTTGTGGCAGCTGAAAAGGAATCTGTCTTTGTTTCAACATTAGCTTTTTCTAGACCAGTACACAATTCCTAATTGCCGAGAAGAAATATGGCGATGCGGAATATATTCATGTTTGTTTTCAAAAGTGATGCACTCAAGGTCTTTCAAAAGTGCCGCAGAAGACACTTTATTCAATTGAATCTTTTGCAGCTTCAATTAAAATGAGCTGCCACACAAATCCCACAAATGAATAACTTCGGCTTCTTGACACAAGTCCACTGTTTCCCTTGCCCTCTCAGAACTGTTCAACTGCCCACTTTGAAAGCTCTGCTGCAGCAGGCAGGGGGCAGCTCTCTTTCCAAAGTCCTTTTCATCTTTCCTTCACAGTACTTGTTCACTTTCGGTCTCACTCCAATATTTAGCTTTGTGTGAAACTTATCACACATGCTGCTGCTGCTTGCTCTGGGTCACATTTCAAATGGGCAAATGGAAGCAGCAGCAGCACATGCAGGCAGGGAGCATTCAATTACTTTTAATGAAGGCACTTTTTCGAATCCACACAGCTTTCCAGCCTCCCGGCTATTTCTGTTCTTCAAGGTAGTGCGCAGCTCTGCAAACACCGTCAGATCTTCCTGGAAAGCAGTCGTTCTTTGAACTTCCCAACTAACTTTTGATATTCGAAAGTTTCAAGATTAAAATTTGATATTTTTCCTGAAAAAACAGTTTATCTGATGCGGGACTCGACCCGCTTTATCTGGCCACCGCAACAGTGCTGTGGTGCTCTCACTAGCAGAAAAGAGAAAAAAATCAAAAACTGGAAAAGCTTTCAAGACTACAGGAGAGCTGCAATTTCTTCCTAACAGTTTTCCAGTCTGGAACTGAGGGTTTGTCTTTAAAGTTTGAGTGAAGAAGTGCTGTACAGATAAGCTCGGCTTGGCTCCTGCGAGGCTCTTCTTTCATGGCTACATCCGTTCCTTAGGCTTATTCCTATCACTACTAAGTAAGGAAACTCAAACACTTGAGAAATTTAAACATTATTTCGAACTTCCTTATCCCCACGGAACGCATGCGTTCCTCCAATACTTCTAACGCTCTGCGTGGCCAAGCAGTGTACTGCAACTGCGGTACTTCTTGCCAGCCCTAAACCCTGGAACTAATTAAGAGCACTTCGGGACTTTGCTTTCGAGCACTTAAACCCTTTATGCATTTTCTGCTATCATGTTTCACGCCGATCTACACATTCTGAATTACACGGCCCTGAACTTCACTTTTGGGCTGCTTTATAGCGCCGTGCGCCACAAGTTCTGAGATGAAGAATGCGCCAAGAATCATCTTGACGCGCTCCCCAAAGGCTGCACTTTTGTTTTTGAGAGAAGCACTTTTTTCTATTTGGGATATAAGCGAGACGCGGGCTGCATCACATTTGTGCGCAGCCAACCCTATGCTGGGGATATGGGGATATTAGGAGAGTGAGATACTGATATTGTGGTGTCTGAAAGCCAGGCCATATTTCCATTCTCTGTTCAAAACTCAAAAGGTCAGCCTCAACTGTTGAGGCTGAGCTGCGTGGGAGCTGCTCACGCCACCCCCGGTGCAGCGCAGCCAGCCTCATGCTGTTTGTGAAAGATATGAGTGTGACAGATTCACGGGTGACTAGAGATATCTTGAGTTGATAAGTTTAAACAGAGAGACTGAGTCTGTCAACAAATTGCTTCCCCTTTCAATGAGGGCTTTCACTGGCTATTCTCCAATACATGATCTTCTATAGTGCAGGATACTCGGGGCATCCCCACCCTGTAATGCATGCATGCGGCAATACTTACTTTTAATTGTGGATGAGTATCACTTTTCTTATTTGACAAAAGTCCTCTTCAGACTCCACTACAGCGTGTGACGCGCTACACGCCTTGGGATCCAGTTTGTAGTTCAATGCAGATCAGTTTTCTCGTGTGCAAAGCCCAGCTATCTTCAAATGCACCCAGAAATGTAGAGTATTACTTAGCTCCATAAACAGATCATACTTCTTTATAAGTAGCATCGAAAGTCTTCCAAACAGGGCACTTGGTGGCGCGGGGAATAAACTTGCAAAAATGAGTTGCCGCCACTCTGGTGCTTGTGTGCAGACTGTGTGGCAGCAAGTTATCGAATGATGTATCTCTGGTATATAATAAACTTGATAAGATTTCTTTGATTAGTGCAGTTTATTTAGTCAGTGGAAAGAACGCGAAGATGTGGTTTTGAAGGCTAGAAGAAAGGCTGAAAATAAATCTCAAGCCAACTAGAGTGGCGTGAGAAGGCTTCGTGAAGCCTTCACCAAACGGAACTAATGGGACTTTTGTTCCAAAAGCTAAAAGCCTTAGAATCAAAACGCGAGGAAACTTAGTTTTAATAGTTTTCCTGAGTTTTTCCAAGACTTTCGCCGCTAAAATTGTGCAGAAAACGCTTTCCAGTGAAGTCGAAGTCACGAGGGTTTATCTTTTCCCTTCATCTAAATGCTACAGTGAAGCTGAACACAGACTGCAACGCAGAGTTCCTTGCTTTTCTTACTATTATAGGAACCATTTTCCTTGAAGCGCCGCAGCAGCAGCAGCAGCAGCTGATAGTGGGGCAGCAGCAATGACTTATGGTGACAGTGCTGCAGCAGGAGTATAGGAGCAACAGCGTGGAGACAACTATCGCTGCAGCAGCAGCAGCAGCAGCAGCAGCAACAGCGGGGTCTGCTGCTGCAGCACATTGCATTAGGTGCTTCGGTTTCGACTGACTGTAGACTATGCGTACGGCTAATAGTGGCTTTTTGAATATTTTAAAAACTGAAATTTATTTAACTTTTTTTACAGGATTAGGCAGCTGAAACTGCAGTGAATTATGCCTGAAGTCTTCACTGAAAAATAAAATAAAATAACAGTTTTAAAAGTTCCATTTTAAAACAAATTTCCCCACAAGTGTTCAATTTTCCTCCTTTGCCGCAGAACTTTCCACCTAAGAGGCAAAGTCTGAATTGCAAAGAGTGTCTAAAATAAAAAGTAATTTTACTCAAAAGTTTAATTTCTGTTGAAGTAAAAAATTATCTTTTTGAATTGTAATAAAAATGGAGTTTAAATTGAAGAGATTTATTTGAAGTCCATTTAATGAATTACTTGCAGACTTAGAGCTTTCGGCAAATGGACTTTGGCTGTTTTCAGCTGCTGTTGCAGCAAATTTTGGAGTTAAAGACAGAAATAATTTGAAATAAATGAATTTAAATTAAATATTTGAAGACCTTTTGACTGCAGACTTCGCCATTTGCGAAGCGCAGCAGCAGCAGCAGCAGCGGGGCTGCAGCTGCTGCTGCTGCGCTGCAGCAGCTGCGAGACAGCAGCAAAAGAGAGTTTCGTGTCTTCGCCGCATTTGCACTTGAATTATTTTTTCGTAGCTTTTCGAATTCAAAGACTCCCCGCGCTGTCTTCGCGGGCCGCAGCCTCTGCTGCCCCTCTCAGAGGTGAGGGGCCTTCATTAAAGAAGACTTTGTCTTTAAAAGATTTTAAAAATAGTTTTTTTAAACTAAGAGTTGCGACTTTCGCAGCAGTTTCCCAAGATGGAGTTCAAGTTCAACTCCGCCGCCTGGACTTCGCCGCAGCGCTGCTGCGGGAGCCGCTGGAGAGGCCCGAAAAACGGAGAAGAGGAAATAAATGAAACTTGACGGAATAAATGAATTTAAAATAAAAAATAAAATAAATAAAGTGAAATAATTAAGTTTAAATCTCCAAGTCCCGCGGAAGGCGGGCGGGAGGCAGCAGTTGGCCGCAGTCCGCGGCTGCCGATCCGCAGGCCTCTCGTCTTGTGTTTTTGTTTTTGTTTTCTTTTTAGTTTTTATTTTGAATTCGCAACAAAATAATAATGGCGCTCGAACCCGAAGGCAAGTGACGAGTGGACTTTCTGCGGCGCGGCGGCGGTGGCGGGGTGTACGTACACCGCAGCGAAGCAGCAGTGCTCGCCGGCGGAGCGAGTTGGGTGTTTGGCTATCAAAATAAAAGCATTTCTTTTATTTTAATCATTTATTTCCTTTTATTTTGCTTTTTCGCAGCCTGGAATGTCATAATCGGCGTTTTCGTCTTCATCATGATCATCGCCGCCTTCGCGACTTATGTGAACGTGCAGCTGAAGCAGCGCGAAGTTGCAAAGCCCAAGAAGGTGACTGCAGCAGCTCTTTCCCAGACTCTGCATGCATGCATGCACGCATGCATGCATGCATGCATGCGTTTTGCATGCGTTTTGCATGCATGCACATGTGCTTGCGCTGCAGTTCAAGAAGAAGAAAGAGAAGGAGTACTGGTCTCTCGACTGAGTGCAGCAGCCCCGCGAGGCCGCCGCGCCTAAGAGATCCTTTTGCTCGCAGTTTTAGCTTGCTGCTGCTGCTGCAGCACAGAACGCAGCAGCAGCAGCAGCAGCAGCAGCAGCAGCAGCAGCAGCAGCAGCAGCAGCGTGCGAGAGGCTTCTGGCGCCGCAGTGAAACTGCCTTGCTTTGCTTCTCCAGACCTGAAATTCAAATTTGCAGAACTTCGCTGCAGCAAATCCCTAGGAATTAAGTGCTGCTAAGAGCCAAACAAATTAATTTATTGTTGCTGTTGCTGCTGCTGCTGCTGCTGCTGCTGCTGCTGCTGCTGCTGCTGCTGCTGCAGTTTGAAAAGAAGTGCGAAGACACTTCGCAGCTCTTCGCCTTCTCTTGCAAAGGCGAGGGCAGACACCTGCCGTCTAGACACCTGGGAGCAGCGGCGCAGCCGCAGCTGCTGCTGCGCTGCTGCTGCTGCTGCTGCTGCGCTGCTGCTGCTGCTGCTGCTGCTGCTGCTGCTGCTGCTGCTAGAGGTGTGGGAAAATAGAACAAAGTCCAGTGGAGTTAATTGGAATTATTGTTTTAAAAGTTTATTTTCTTTTAAGTCTTCATGTCCAACAGCCCCAGCGAGTCGTCTTGCTCCCGAGTTCTTTTGTACACTTCCACTGTCTGCAGCAAAACAGAAATCCATTTAAAATGAAAATATAATTTATTTTGCAAAATTAAAAATATAATTTCTTTTGTTTTGCAAACTGAAAATAAAAGTATAATTTATTTTGCAAAATAAAATTGAAAATGTAATTTATTTTGCAAAATAACAGAATTAAAAATATAATTTCTTTTGTTTTGGAAACTAAAAATAAAAGTATAATTTATTTTGCAAAATAAAATTGAAAATGTAATTTATTTTGCAAAAAAAATTAAAAATATGATTTATTTTGCAAAATAGCAAAAATTAAAAACATAATTTCTTTTATTTTTGCAAAGTTAAATAATTTCTTTTGTCTTGCAAAATAAAATAATTTCTTTTATTTATTTTATTTTGCGAAACAAAATATTGAAAATATGATGCCTTTCATTTTGCAAAATAAAATAAAATATTTTATCTTTCAGAATAAGTTATTTATAATATAATATCTTTTATTTTGCAAAATTAAATGCAAAATTAAATAATATATTTTATCTTGCAAAATAAAATATATTATTCATAATTAACATATTTTATTTTGCAAAATAAAATATATTATTTATAATTAACATCCTTTATTTTGCAAAATCAAATGCATTATATTATTATTGCTTTTACTTTTCAAAGCAAAAGATATTATTTTTGTTATGCAAATAAAAGATATATTACTTTTGTTTTAATCTAAAAATAAAATATTATTCACAAACAAATAAACATTAATAAAAATCTTTTACTTAAAATAAAATGTTATTCATTAACAAATTGTAATGTTTTACTTTGCAAAATAAAACAAAAATAAAATCTTCCACTTCAAATAAAATAAATAAATAAATAAATAAATAAATAAATAATAATGCTTTACTTCGGAAAACAAAACAAATAATAATAATATTTCATTTGCAAAATAAAACACAAATAATATAATTTCTTTATTTTTCAAAATAAAATAAAAATGTTTTATTCTGCAAATAAAATATATTATAAAAGCAGTCTGTATTATTTTCCAAAATAAAACATTATTTCACAATTAAAAATGTTTTGTTTTGCAAAATAAAATATAATTTCCATAAATAAAATAATAATGTTTTGCTCTCCAAAATAAGAATATAGTGGGATTTCTTTCTTAAAAATAAAACATTATTTCGCAAATAAAAAGCAAATTATTATTTGTTTTTTGTTTATGAAAAATGTTTTTGTTTTTATTTCGCGAAATAAAAATAATTGTTTAATGAATAAAAGCAAATAATAATGAAACATATTTTAAGAAATAAAGCAAATATTATTTTTGAAAAAATAAATAATAAAAATATTTTACTTTTAAAAATAAAAATGTTCAAATATAATTCTTCATTTCATAAATAACAGCAAACAGAAAGGCGTTTTACTTTGCAAAATAAAATTGTTTTATTTATCAAATAAAAGCAAATAATAACATTTATTTCAGAAAACAAAAAGATGAATTATTTGACAAATAAAAGCAAACAACATTTTGCAAAATAAGAAAGTTAATTACTTGATAAATAAAAGCAAACAATGATGTTTTATTTTGCAGAATAAGAAGAAGAATTATTTGACAAATAAAAGCAAACAACAACATTTTTATTTTGGAAAATAAGAAAAGTAATTACTTGATAAATAAAAGCAAATAACATTTTCTTTTGAAAAAAAGGAAATTAATTACTTGACAAATAAAAGCAAATAACATTTTATTTTGGAAAACAATAAAACTAATTACTTGACAAATAAAAACAAAAACATTTTATTTTGGAAAAGAAGAAAAGTGATTACTTGACAAATAAAAACAAAAACATTTTGGAAAAAAGGAAATTAATTACTTGACAAATAAAACAAAAACATTTTAAAAAAGGAAATTAATTACTTGACAAATAAAAACAAAAACATTTTATTTAAAAAGGATTTATTTCAAAAAAACTCACGAGAGTTTCGTCAAGTTTGGAGCTCCAAAGGACTTCTCCTGGCTGAGCCTCTTGGAGTTTGCGTTGGAGTTCTTCTTCACTAATTGCTGCTTCCGGTGCTGCTGCTGCTGCTGCAGCAGCAGCAGCAAGAGCCCTTGCTGCGTCGCCGTCTACGTGGGTGGAGGCGTCCACTCGCGCTGGCGCTGCTGCTGCTGCTGCTGCTGCTGCTGCTGCTGCTGCTGCTGCTGCTGCGGGCTGCGCCGCCTCCGCTGCTGCTGCTGCTGCTGCTGCTGCTCCCGGCTGCGCCGCCGCTGCTGCTGCTGCTGCTGCTGCTGCTGCTGGTGCTGCTGCTGCTGCTGCGCGCAGCGCCACAAAAGACAAGTCCGCGGGGTCATTGAGAATAACTTTAAAAGGAAAAACGTCGAAAAGTCCTTCTTGCATTCTGCGAAGTTCTTTGCAAATAAATTCAATTTTTTTTTTCGAAGTTTTTGCGGCGGAGTCCCCACTCGCAAAGGGCACACTTTCGCTAAGTCCGTCCGCCAGCGCCTTCAACAGCCCCTCCACTGTTGTCAAAGTTCCTGCAAATAAATGTTTTAAAATAAATAGTTTTAAATTAATAAATACTTTTTAATTAAGTTTTAAAAATAAATAGTTTTAAATTAAGTTTTAAAAATAAATACTTTTAAATTAAGTTTTAAAAATAAATAGTTTTAAATTAAGTTTTGCAAAATAAATAGTTTTAAATTAAGTTTTAAAAATAAATACTTTTAAAAGTTTTTAATTAAAGTTTTGCAAATAAATGTTTTTAAAATTTTGCAAAATAAAACAATCTTAAAGTTCCTGCAAATAAATGTTCAAAGTTTTGCAAAATAAATATTTTGAAAGTTTTAAATTAAAGTTTTGCAAATAAATATTTTTAAATTAAAGTTTTGCAAAATAAAACAATTTTAAAGTTAAAGTTCTGCAAAACAAAACACTTTTGAAGAGCCAAAGTTCTGCAAACAAGCATTTTTAAAAGTTAAAGATTCTGCAGAACAAAACACTTTTAAAGTTAAAGTTTTGCAAAACAAAACACTTTAAAGTTCCTGCAAAACAAAACAATTTAAAAATTAAAATTTCTGCAAAACACTTTTGAACTTTTTTGGAGGCAAACTGCAGCACTCCGCGCGGTGTACGTACACCGCAGCGCGCGCGGAAAGCGCTGCCGGAAACCGCGGGAAAGCGACACTTCTTTGCAAACTGAGCAGCAGCAAACCAGCAGCAAGTCAGCAGCAGCTGCTGCAGCTGCTGCTGCTGCAGCAGCTGCAGCAGCTGCTGCTGCTGCTGCAGCTTCGAAGCTCACCAGCTTCTGCGCCGCCCTCCATGGAAAAGTCCAAACTGGGGATTTCGACTGAGGCCGTGTCGCCCTTCAGCACATCTCTGTTCAAGTCTTCGGGGCCCTCCACCTGCAGCAGCCGCAGCTCACACTCGCGCACTTTTGGCTCTCGAAAATGCTGCAGCAGCAGCAGCAGCAGCAGCAGCTGCTGCTGCCCGCTGCAGCAGCAGCAGCAGCAGCAGCAGCAGCAGCAGCAGCAACGCGGGAAAGCTTCACCGTCAGAATCCACCTTCGCGCAGCCAAGCCGTAGGCGCCTGCTGCTTTTATTTCGGAGTTCTTCGCCCCGCAGTTGGGGCAGCAAAAGGCGAAGATGAGACACTCGCGGAAACCTGCAAAGAGCAGCAGCAGCAGCAGCAGCAAAAGCCGCAAAGAGCAGCAGCAGCAAAAGCCGCGAAGTGCAGCAGCAGCAAAAGCCGCAAAGTGAGGAAGTTTTCATTTATTACAAACAACACTTCCGCATTTTGCTGCTTCTGGCTTTTTTAAGACGCTAAACTGACAAATTCAGAAAAATTCACAAGTGCTGCTGCTTGCTGCTGCTTGCTGCTGCTTGCTGCTGCTTGCTGCTGCTTGCTGCTGCTTGCTGCTGCTTGCTGCTGCACCTGGAATGTTGACTTGGCAGACTTTGTTGGTCGTGCTGCAGCCGCAGTGCGGGCATTCCACTGGCAGCAAAAGGGCCTCTTCTTTGAGAGCTGCTTCGTCTTCTGCTGCTGTTGCTGCTGCTGCTGTTGCTGCTGCTGCTGCAGCTTCCTCTGCCTCGGGGGCCCCTTCGTCTGCGCACAAGTCAGCAGCACCCCTGAAAAGCCCTGGCAGGGGGCCCCCCTTGGGCCCTTACTGGGGCCCCCAATTGCTGCGTGGACTTAGCCGCAACACAGGTGCGCTGCCGCTGCCGCTGCTGCTGCTGCTGCTGCTGCTGCTGCTGCTGCTGCTGCTGCTGCTGCTGCTGCTGCTGCTGCTGCTGCTGCTGCTGCTGGGGCGCACCTGGGGCTTCTTGGGCCTCGAAGTACCCCATTGCATGCAGCTGCTCCTTCGTCCTTTCGAAGTGCCTCACAAGGAGGCGGCTGTCGGCGCGCTGCAGCGGCTGCGGGCCTTGCGGGGCGGCGCCAGCCTCTTCCCGCGGCCCGCTGCTGCTGCCCGCAGCAGCAGCAGCAGCAGCAGCAGCAGCAGCGTCTTCGAGCTTGTGCGCAGCCTCCTGCTGCTTGTCCGCAGCCAGAGACAGGCTCTCCACGTAGCTGTTGCCGCTGGGGTCCTCCAGCACCAGGCGGAAGGGCTGCTGCCCCGCAGCCATGGCTTTGAGTCTGCGGGCGAGGCGGGAGAGCTGCTGCGCCTTTTCCTTTTCTTCGAGCTGGAGTTGGTAAAGAGCGGCGAACTTGAGGTTTTCCGCGAAAGAATCCACGAGACCCTCGACTGTGTTCAGCTCCGCGCGCGCCCGCGAGGCCGGCACTTCGAGTTCAACTTCCGGGATTTCCACTCGACAGTGTTCGCTCCGCACCACTTGGCGGTTCAAATCCAACGGAGAAGTCACTTTGCACTCAATATGAACGCCTTTGGGGGCCAAACTGCCGGCGGTTTGCACCTGCGCGCAGCAGATCGCGCCCGCGCCGCCGCAAATCCTGAACTTGAACTTCGCCGAAACTCCGGCTAACTCCGCCCTTTCCCGCGATCTCCACTCAATTGCTCTTCACTGCTTCGAAATGCAATTAAAAATTAAAAAAAAGCCGAAGGAAACGGCTGGAAAACGAAGCAAAGCTGCAGAGAGATGCGGCTGCCTGTGCAGCTTCCTGTGCAGCTTTCCTTACCTCTCGGTTCGCGTAGTTGCAGTGCGGACAGCTGAACGAGGATATCAACAAGTCCTTGAAATGAGGAACTCGGTGCAATAAAATGAGCGTTTCCCCATTTTCTTCGCAGTTCGGACACAAAGAAGTTATCCGATTCACGCAGTCCAGCAAGCTGTCGCTTTCTTCCGCGGCCTTCCCGGACTCGCCCGGGGGCCCCACCGCCGCCTCCTGAGACATCCTGTAAAGAACTAAACGCAAATTGCAAAATAAATCGACTTTAAATGCACAAAAACGCCGGCTGCGAAGGGTGTAAAGCCCGCCTCTTCGCCTCGAAGCAGTCAATGTATGCAGCAGCCCGACCGGGGGCCCCAGGGCCCCACAACTGCGTGTGAGGTGGTGGTGTTCTTTTGCATGTAAGCCGAATCTTTACTTGGGCATTTTCTTTATATTTATTTTAAAATGAAAATTAAGAGGTGAGGGAGAAGCCCCCTGCGTGGGTGGCCTTGTGCTGTTCAGCTTTCAAGTTCTCGAGGCTTCACCGATATGCAGCCTTCTGCTCGCCTGCAGTTTGAATAGCTCTGGTGAAATCATTCAAATTGGACTTTTATATTCTGAAAAGAGTTTTTTGCAATGTCAGAGAGCCAGCTTTACGGGAGAACTCCGCGAGATCTGCGGCTGCGCGCGCGGCAGGCAGCAGAGCCTCTGCAGGGAAACTTCGGGAAAGCTTTGAAGAAAAGCCGCTTCAGCAGACATTGAATGACACTGAATGTTTTATTGTTTCGAATTTTATTCAACAATTCAGATTTCCTCCAATTTGCTGCGCGGGAAGGCTCAATTCAATGGCCACTGACTTGCATTCAGTGGCTGCTTCCGGCGCGCATTCAATTCAAATTTTCCCCTTTTGCAATATTTCTCACTTTGCTTCTCTCCAGGCCTTAATTAAGTTTATTAAAAGACAAAACTTCTCCATTTTGGAGATTTAAATGCAACTTTAGAGCTGTCAGATTCCAAGTTGAATATCTCTTCACTGCATGCACAAACTCTCCTACGCTGGCTTCTGGCCGCTGTGGCTTGAGGGGCCAAAGAGCCAAAGTTACAATACTTCTTTGCTGCAGTGCTGCTGCAGTGCTGCTGCAGTGCTGCTGCAGTGCTGCTGCAGTGCTGCTGCAGTGCTGCTGCAGTGCTGCTGCAGTGCTGCGGAGTAGGTGCATGCATGCTTCTTTGAACTGAACAGCAAAGGAGAAAATTAAAGAAAAATAAAATAAAAGTTGAAGATAAGAATTCCAAACTTCTGCTTTCTGCTGCAGAACTTCTTCATCCTAAAAGGCAGAGTTTGCTGCCACTTTAATTTATTAAAAGTCTTTTAATTAATTTCAAAATTAAGAAGCAGCAAATAGGCCGCAGCTGCTGTGGGGCCCCACATCATCAAGTTTATTTGTTTGAATTAAATTGAATTTCAAAATATTTAATTTTAAATGCATTTAAAGTTGCAAACGAAGCTGCAAAAGCCCCATAAGTCCCACTGGGGGCCCCCAGGGGCCCCCAGCGGGGGGCCCCGGGGGGCCCCCCAGGGGGCCCCCCGGGGCCCCTTATGCAGGAGTTGCTTAAGCACTGCTGCAGCAAAAGGGGCTTTTGCTGCAGCAGCAGCTGCAGCAGCAGCATGCCATTTTGCTGCTAAGCATTTGGAGGCGCATAAAGTCTAAATTTGCCTTCGAACCAGCTCCTGCGTCCCAGCTGCTCTTTTATCGGGTTAGGGTTTAGGGTTTAGGGTTTAGGGTTTAGGGTTTAGGGTTTAGGGTTTAGGGTATAGGGTTTAGGGTTAAGGGATTAGGGTTTAGGGTCTACGATTCAACGGGTGGAGGGGGGCGTCTCGCACAAGCCAAAAGCGAGAGGAAGAAAGGGCTTAGGGTTTAGGGTTTAGGGTTTAGGGTTTAGGGTTTAGGGTTTAGGGTTTACTCTCGGGTTTGATTAAAAGCAACAAGTTGAGATAATAAAAATCAATTCAGAAGCAAACAGCAGCGGCCCCACAAATCCACATCAGACTGGGATCGCTGGAGACGATCCCACGCAACTGTGGGGTGTGGGGCCCCAGCAGCAACTGTGGGGCCCCAGCAGCAGCAACTGTGGGGCCCCAGCAGCAGCAGCTGTGGGGCCCCAGCAGCAGCTGTGGGGCCCCAGCAGCAGCAGCTGTGGGGCCCCAGCAGCAGCTGTGGGGCCCCAGCAGCAGCAGCTGTGGGGCCCCAGCAGCAGCTGTGGGGCCCCAGCAGCACGAAGTAGAGGGCAAAAGAAGAAGTTAATTTGCTTCCAATTATCTCCAAGTGACTCTTTTGCTGCTGTGGGGCCCCTGGGTGCAGCAAAGCCTTTAAAGCTTCTTCAAAAGCTGCCAAGTTGGGGCCCCCAAGAGGGGCCCCCAAGGGGGGCCCCCCTCCCTGTGGGGCCCCAGCGGCTGCTGCACCAGTGGTCTGTGGGGCCCCACAGGGGCCCCACAGACCACTGCTGCAGCGCAAGTGCTGCAGCAGCAAGACTAGTAGGGTTTGGGGGCTGCAGCAGCTGCTTCTTTTGCTGCTTTGAAGTTTTAAATTGCTGCAGCTTTGCTGCTTCTTTCTTTGCTTTTTAAATGAGGCTTTAGGCGCCCTTTTTATTCTTTTAAATGAGCTACAAAACCCCAGCCAGGGCCCCCTGGGGCCCCCTGGGGCCCCCTGGGGCCCCCTGGGGGCCCCTGGGGGCCCTTGGGGGGCCCTTGGGGCTAAGAGTGCCCTAGGCACTTTTGCTGCGGCAGCAGCTCGCGCAGCCATTTGCTGCAGTGGAAGCAAAAGGCCCCTCGGGGGCCCACAGCGCTGGCGCTGCAGCAGAGGGGCCCCCCAGAGGGTTTAGGGGCCCCCAATCTGGCCTTATGAGGCTTTGGGGGCCCCCCAGCTGCAGCAAATTAAGTTACTGCTTTGAATTTCAGGGGGGGCCCCCAGGCCCTGGCCAGACACCCGGCGCGAGTGCTGCAGCCGCTGCCGCCGCCACTTGGCCCGCGAAAGGGCCGATTTTGGGGCTTTTATTGAATTAATAATGCGAAATAAATAAAACTTTGGAAATAAATTAAATTAAATCTTTTTTTTGTGGGCCGGAAGCTGAAACTTGAGGGGTTGCTGGGAGGCGGGTGCGACCGCCCGGAGTGGGTCACGGAGCCGCGGGTTCCCGAGAAGCCGCGAGTCTTTGCGGGGAATAACACTTGAATTTGATTAAATTAAATATTTAATTTAATTTAATTGAATAATTTTGCAGTTTTGTGGGCGTTTTGTTTCTCTGGGAGGCGCGGCCGCGGCGGCGCTCACGGTCGCCGCTTGGGAGGCTGCAGAGCCTGCAGCGGCGGCTGCGGCTTCGCGCCGCGGGTGAAACGCGGAGTTATTGAATTAAAAACAAATAAAAACAATTTGAAATAATGATTTTGAAGTTTGCAAACATAATGCGGGCGGGGGCGTCGGGGTGTCGAGACAGCCGGGCGCAGCCGCTTTCGATGCAGTGCCAGGGAGCGACTGCAGCGCGCATGCGTCTGCTGCTGCAGCAGCAGCGGGAGGCAGCAGCAGCTTGAATTAGTTTTTTTCTTTTTGCAAAAGAGGGATTAAAGGCAATTGGAGTTGCGGAGAAGCACGGGCGCGGCGGCGAGTTCGTGCGGCCCGCAGCAGCAGCAGCAGCAGCAGCAGCAGCGCAGCGAGGTCTGCAGCGTGCTGCTGCTGCTCGCGCGCCCAGCGCAGCCCGCAGCAGCAGCAGCAGCAGCCCCGGCCGCCTCTTTGGAGTTTATTTTGTCAAATTAATATTTTAAAAAGGTTTTGTTTTTATTTGGGCTTCGGGGGCCCCGGAATCGCCGCGCTCGGGCAGCAGCAGTCGCGGCGGCTGGAGCCCCGGCCCGCAGCAAGTGTGGGGCCCCAGCTGGCTTAACAAAAGGTCTTTTTAAACAAAATGGCAGCATTTAAACTTGTGGGGCCCCGGGTTGTGGGGTGGTGGCTGTGGGTGGGTTCGCTGCTGCTGCTGCGCTGCAGCGGGGGGGCCCTGGGCCCCAGCCGGCGGCTGCGGCCGGGGCTGGGGCTTGCTGCTGAGCAGCAGCAGCAGCAGCAGGAGCAGCAGCTGCTGCAGCTGGAGCAGCTGGACCTGGTGGTGGACGGGCTGCAGGGCCCCGCGGGCCTGGGGGCCCCCGTGGAGGCCCTCCTGGGGGCCCCCCGGGGCCCCTCGCGGCGGCAGCAGCGGCGGCGGCTGCCTGTGGGGCCCCTGCTGCTGACTGCTGCTGCAGTGGGGGCCCTGGTGGCGAACTTCGCGCTGCGGCGCGTGGGGCCCCCCCCGGGGGCCCCCCCCCGCGCGCGCGGCGCCGCTGCTGCTGCTGCAGAGCAGCAGCAGCAGCAGCAGCAGCAGCAGCAGCAGCTGCTCGCGGAGCTCGACAGCCTGCGCAGCGAACTGCCGGAACTGTTTGCTGCTGCTGCTGCTGCTTACAGCGAACACTGCAGCACGATCTCGCGGCGGTACCGCGAGGCCCTGTCTTGTCTTTACAGCAGCAAACTGGTGTCTGCTGCAGCAGCAGACGCAGCAGAAAGCAGCTTTTTGCTGCTGCAGGACTCCTGGGGCCTCCAGGAGGTGCAGCAAACTTGGACAGAACTTGTGGAAAAACTCACGCTGCAGCTGACGCCCCCCGAAGCAGCAGAAGTCTCTTCTCTTGCTGCTGCTGTTGTCTCTCAGTTTGCTGCTCGCCTCGAGCTGCTGCAGCACGAGTGCAGCACGGCCTTCGCGCAGCAGCGCCGCGAAGTTGCTGCTGCGCTGCAGCAGTTCGAGGCCGCTGCTGCAGCGGGGGGCCCCCGGGGGGGCCCCCAGGGGGGCCCCCAGGGGGGCCCCCAGGGGGGCCCCCAGGGGGGCCCCCCGGGGGCCCTCGAAGTCAGTGCAGCGCAGCAGTTTCTTTCCCAAGTTGCTTTTCTTAGAGCCAAGGGCCCCAAACTCGAGCAGCTAAAGGGGCCCCTGGGGGCCCTCGAGGGGGCCCTTGCTGCTGCTGCGGAAGCAGCAAAAAAAGCTGCTGCAGCACGCAGCGCGGAGCAGCAGCAGCAGCAGCCGCCGCCGCGCAAGCGCAAAAGACTCGCCTGAGCTGCTGCTGCTGCTGCTGCTGCTGCAGCAGCGGCACTGCTGCTGCTGCTGCTGCGGAGAAGACGGAGGCGGAGGTGCAGGAGGGGGCTGCTGAGGCCGGAAGGGCTGCTGCTGCTGCTGCTGCTGCTGCTGCTGCTCTTGCTGCTGCTGCTGGAGGAGGAGGAGAGGGAGGCGCGTGCAGCTATTTGCATGCATGCAGCAGCAGCAGCAGCAGCGCAGCAACAGGAGAAGCCCCAACTTGCTGCTGCATGCATGCAGCCACAAACACTTTCGGGCGCCCGCGACTTTTCCAGCAGCAGAGCTGCTGTTGCTGCGGCTGCTGCTGCTGCTGCTGCTGCTGCTGCTGCTGTTGAGCTCAGGTGCACGCTCACCTCAGCTTCCAGTACACCTGAGGAGGTGCCTATACACCTGAGGAGGTGCCTATACACCTGAGGAGGTGCCTATACACCTGAGGAGATGCCCATACACCTGAGGAGGTGCCTATACACCTGAGGAGGTGCCTATACACCTGAGAGGTGACTATACACCTGAGGAGGTGCCTGTACACCTGAGAGGTGCCCATACACCTGAGGTGCCGGTACACTTGAGGAGCTGCCTATACGCCTGAGAGGTGCCCATACACCTGAGGTGTACGTACACCTGAGAGGTGCCTATAAACCTGAGAGGTGCCCATACACCTGAGGTGTACGTACACCTGAGAGGTGCCTATACACCTGAAAGGTGCCCATACACCCCGTGCCCGCGTTTGCTGCTGGTGTGTCCGCAAAGCGAGCAGCAGCAAAAGTCCCACTTAGTCGGAGGGCAAAGAGATATTGCTGCTAGATGTCTGCTGCAGCGCAGCAGCGCAGCAGCTGCTGCGCTGCAGCGCAGCAGCACGGATTGGTGTGCTGCTGCGCCGCAGCGCAGCAGCGCGAGCCCGTCTGCTGCTGCGCAGCAGCAGCGCCGCTGCGCTGCAGCGCAGCAGCGCGAGCCCAGCTGCTGCAGCTGCTGCAGCTGCTGCAGCAGCTGCAGCAGCACGAACTGTGCTGCTGCGCTGCTGCGCAGCAGCAAACTTAATGTGTGATTTTGTGCTGCACGGAGTCTTTGAGGCTGTGGGCGCAGCAGCAGCTAAGCCTGCAACATTTGTCTTAGTCATATTTCGAGTCTTTGGGACTTTTAATTCGGAAATGTAATTTAATTAATTCAAAATGCATTTAATTAATGCAAAATGCATTTAATTAATTCAAAAATGTAATTTAATTAATTCAAAAATGCATTTAATTATTTCAAAAATGCATTTAATTATTTCAAAAATATAATTTAATTAATTCAAAATGCATTTAATTAATTCAAAATGCATTTAATTAATTCAAAATGCATTTAATTAATTCAAAATGCATTTAATTAATTCAAAATTCATTTAATTAATTCAAAATTCATTTAATTGATTCAAAAATGTAATTTAATTAATTCAAAATGCATTTAAATGATGCATAATGCATTTAATTGATTCAAAATGCATTTAATTAATTCAAAATGCATTTAATTAATTCAAAAGTGTATTTAATTAATGCAAACAAAGTGCTTTAATTAATGCAAATAAAATGATTTAATTATTGCAAATAAAACGATTTAATTAATGCAAGTAAAACGATTTAATTAATGCAAATAATGCATTTTCAATTATTGCAAAAATGCAAAAAGTTGAAAATAAATAAATAGCGGACTGGCCAATGAGCTGCATGCGCTTTGCTGCACTTTGCATGCACAAGAGGCCCTTCAATAAAAAGCCAAAAGCCAGCATGCATGCATGCATGCATGCATGCATGCATGCATGCAGCTAGTGCATGCATGCATGCATGCAGCCAGTGCATGCATGCATGAAGCCAGTATGCATGCATGCATGCAGCCAGTGCATGCATGCATGCATGCGGCCAGTGCATGCATGCATGCATGCGGCCAGTGCACGCACGGAGCCAGCGCATGCATGCAGCCCGCGCATGCATGCCTGCACCCAGCGCGTGAACGCATGCATGCATGCATACATGCATGCATGCATGCATGCACGCATGCATGCATGCATGCATGCATGCATGCATGCGTGCAAAGGGAGGCTGCTGCAGCAAATTGGAAGTTTGTTCAGTTGTCTTCGTCTCTGAACCCCAGCGGAAATTCGGGGTCATCAAAAAGCCATTCTTTTCCCCCTCGAGCCTCCAGAGCTTCCATGTCTTCGGGGCTTTCCGCAGCAGCAGCTTCCAGCCCCGGCAGCAGCCGCTGCTGCTGCTGCTGCTGCTGCTGCTGCGCTGCAGCAGCAGCAGACGGCTGCAGGCGGTGCAGCGCAGACGCCAGCCACCACTGCGCTATTACGGAGCCCGCAGCAAGACCCCGCAGAGAGATCCACGCGCCCAGACCAGCCTGCAGCAGCAGCAGCAGCAGCAGCAGCAGCAGCAGCAGCAGCGGCGGGGCGGTAGCGGCACGGCAAAGCAGCAGCAGCAGCAGCAAAGCAGCAGCAGTGAACACGTCCGTGAGACACTTGGCCGCATCACGTTCTGGCCAGGGCCTGGGCGGCTCTCCTCAAGCTAAACCCTAAACCCTAAACCCTAAACCCTAAACCCTAAACCCTAGCCCTAAATCCCAAACACAGACAGCCCTCCTGAGTCCTAAGCTACCCTTGCAGCGCCAGCAGCACAAACGCTAGCTACCTGCCCTTAGCGCAGCAGCAGCAGCAGCAGCAGCAGCTGCAGCAGCAGCAGCAGCAGCAGCAGCAGCAGCTGCAGCAGCAGCAGCAGCAGCAGCAGCAGCAGCAAACACCCACCACCTTCCAGCACAAATAGGCCGACGCCCCCCCCACCAGCGCATGCAGCCCCAAAACCCCCGCAATCTGACACAGCGCGCGCAGCGGCTGCTGCCCTGGGGGCCCCGGGGCCCCCAGGGCCCCGGGGGCCCCGGGGGCCCCCAAGGCCCCGGGGGCCCCGGGGGCCCCCAAGGCCCCGGGGGCCCCCAGGGCCCCGGGGGCCCCCAGGGCCCCGGGGGCCCCGGGCCCCGGGGGCCCCCAGGGCCCCGGGGGCCCCGGGGGCCCCCAGGGCATCTGGGGTTCCTGGGGCGCCTGGGGAGGCCTGCGGAGGATCGCAGCAGCAGCAACTGACACGGGTCAGAGTCTCTTACGTTTAGCTGTGCTGCAGAGACACACGAGCTTCTATAGGGGCACGAGCAGCAGCAGCAGCAGCAGCAGCAGCAGCAGCAGCAGAGGCCCGCGCAGCAGCAGCAAAGCAAGAGAGGAGCGCCCGCAGCAGCATCTGCAGCAGCAAAGCAAGAGCAGAGCGCCAGAAGCGGAACGGCAGCAGCAGCAAAGAAGACAAGAGCGCCACCAGCAGCAGCAGCAGCAGCAGCAGCAGCAGCAGCAGCAGCAGCAGCAGCTCACGGGGGGCCCCTGGGTCTGCGGCCGCGGCGGCTCGCCGCGGATGAGGCGGGCCGCGAGGGCCCCCGCAGCAACGAGGGCTGTGGGTGCTGCTCGAGGTGCTGCTGCTGCTGCTGCCAGCAGCGGGAGAAAGTGCTTCGCCGAGGCCCCCAGCCTGCAGCGCAGCAGCAGCAGCAGCAGCAGCAGCAGCAGCAGCAGCTTGCGCGAGAGAGTCGCGGGACAAAGGCAGCACAGAAGGCGGGAGAAAGGGGACAAAGTCAACAGATCTGAGACCCAGGGGGGGCCCCAGCCTCTCTTAACTACTCAAGAACCAACAAGGGGGCCCCTGGGGGCCCCCAAGGGGCCCCCGGGGGGCCCCTGGGGGCCCCCAAGGGGCCCCAGGGGGCCCCCGGGGGGCCCCCAGGGGCCAACCAGCCAACTCAGGCCAGCCACGCTGGGCTGCCACAGCAGGGTAAAGGCACAGACATAAATACATGCATGCATGCATGCATGCATTTGTGCATGCATGCATTTGTGCATGCATTAGTGCATGCATGCATGCATGTGTGCATGCATGCATGCATGCATGGAGAGAATGCATGCAAAGACGGAAGAACTGCGGAGCTACAAAAAAGAAGCAGCTGCGGCCTTAAAGCCAGAAGCAAAGCCCCCACGCAGACAAACGTAGCTGCCGCTGCTGCTGCACCTGCTGCTGCTGCTGCTGCTGCTGCTGCTGCTGCTGCTGCTGCTGCTGCTGCTGCTGCTGCTGCTGCTGCTGACCTTTGCAGGAAGCTGGGGGCCCTTCGGGCCTGCTGCTGCTCCGCGCGGACTTGAGCTGCCAAAGCCCCAAAGGCCTTCGGAAGGCCAGGGCCTTCGGCATAGGCCGGGTCCAGCTCGCTCGGTGCATGCGCACTGCAGCAGCAGCAGCACAACGCATGCATGCGCTTGCATGCATTTGCATGCATGCACTTGCATGCATGCATTTGCATGCATTTGCACGCATGCATTTGCATGCATGCATTTGCATGCATGCATTTGCATGCATGCATTTGCATGCATGCATTTGCATGCATGCATCTGCATGCATGCATCTGCATGCATGCACTTGCATGCATGCATTTGCAGTCAATTGCATGCATTTGCATGCATGCATTTGCATGCATGCATTTGCACGCATGCATTTGCATGCATTTAAATGTATTTGCATGCATTTGCATGCATGCATGCATTTGCATGCATGCATGCATTTGCATGGAAGGAGCTGCGCTGTGGGGCTGCAGCAGCAGCAGCTCACAGGAAGTCGTCTGCTGCTGCTGCTGCAGGCAGCAGCAGCTCACAGGAAGTCGTCTGCTGCTGCTGCTGCAGCAGAGAGCGCAGGGCCCCCGAAGAAGAGCTGCTGCAGCTTGCTTGTCCAGCTGCTGCTGCGCTGCTGGCTGCTTTCCCGCTGCTGCAGCAGCAGCAGCAAAGTCCGCTGCATCAGCTCCAGCCACTTGCTGTGCAGCTGCTGCGCTGCAGCAGCAGACACGGGGTGCTGCTGCCGCCACTTCCGAAGGGCCCCCACCACCTCCCGGGGCCCCACAGCAGCAGCAGCAGCAGCACCTCCTGCAGCAAGCCCCAAAGTCTCCAGAAACTCCGCGTCGCTCATCCCTGCAAAGCCCCACGCATGCATGCATGCATGCATGCATGCATGCAAGAGTGCATGCGGGACTGCATGCATGCATGCATGCATGCGGGAGTGCATTCGGGAGTGCATGCATTTACGCATGCATGCATGCATGCATGCATGCATGCATGCGGGAGTGCATGCATGCATGCATGCGGACTCGCATGCGGGACTGCATGCATGCATGCATGCATGCATGCATGCATGCGGCGGGGCTGGTCACCTGAGGGGGTCCTGTCGTCTTCATCGGAAAGGCCCAGCAGCTTCTCGAGTTGCTGCTGCTGGTACTTCAGTGCTGCTGCCTTCTCGCCCCGCTGCTGCTGCCAGTCTGCAGCAGCAGCAGCAGCAGCAGCAGCAGCAGCAGGTGGCTGCCCTTCAGAGGCGCTGGCTCTCTCGGAGCTCGACGGCTCGAAGACCGGCGCGGGAGCAGCAGCAGCAGCTCCTTCAGCAGCAGCAGCAGCAGCAGCAGCAGCAGCAGCAGTGGCTGGCCGCAGCGGCTGCCACTGTTTTGCCCTGGCTGCTGCTGCTGCTGCTGCCAGCTGGGGCCCCAGGGGCCCCCGGGGGCCCCCCCGGGCCCACAGAAAAGACAGGGGGCCCCCTGCTGCTGCTTTGCATGCAGCACTGGACCCAGTGGACCCTAAGGGGGCCCCCCTGGGGGCCCCAGTGAGTACCCACCTTGCCACCCCGTGGGGGGCCCCCCAGGGGGCCCCCCTGGGGGCCCCCCTGGGGGCCCCCCAGGGGGCCCCCCTGGGGGCCCCCCAGGGGGCCCCCCTGGGGGCCCCCCAGGGGGCCCCTGGGGGGGCCCCCCGAGAAAAGCTCGTGGGCTTTTGCTCAGGGCCTGCAGCTGCTGCTGTGCTGCTGGCAAACTGTGGGGCGGAGAGCAGCAGCAGCGCCAGCAGCAGCAAATGGAGCAGCTGCAGCAGCTGCTCCATTAGCCGCAGGGTCATCGCGCAGCAGCAGCAGCAGCAGCAGCAGCAGCAGCAGCTAGGTGTGCTGCTTGAGGGGCTAGGCGAGGCAGCAAGGATGGGCTGGGCCTCCCGTGCGCGTCTTTATCGTGCATTTACTGCTGCTGCTGCTGCTGCTGCTGCTGCTGCTGCTGCTGCTGCTGCTTCTCCGCCAGCAGCAGCAGCTGCTCCTGCCGTTGCTGCTGCTGCTGCTGCTGCAGCAACAGCAGCAGCGCAGCAAGAACTGGTCGACGCCACGGCTCCCGCTTCTCAAGGTTCAAACCAGCGGCGGGAACCGGAAATACGAGCTGCTGCTGCTGCTGCTGTTTCTGCTGCTGCTGCAGTTTGTGTTGCTGCTGCAGTTTCTGCTGCTGTCACAGTTGCTGCTGCTGCTGCAGATCTACTGCTGCCGCAGCTGCTGTTGCTGCAGCTGCTGCGCTGCAGCTGCTGCCGCTGCAGCTGCTGCTGCTGCAGCTGCTGCTGCCGGGGGCCGGCTTGCCTGTGTGCGCGCCGCTTTCCTGATCGCCAGAAGCAAAGTCGAAACTGCTGGCAGCAGAAGCAGCAGCAGCAGCAGCAGCAGCAGCAGCAGCAGCAGCAGATGCGAGAGATGGGGCAGCCGACAGCAGCAGCAGCTCCTGCGGCTTTGCAGATCTGCAGCGCCTCAGCAGCAGCGCAGACGAATCGACTCTGTCTGCTGCAATAAAGAAGCAAATTGAGAAAAATAAAAAACAATTAAATTTAAAAATAAAAATAAATTAAATTTAAACCACTAATGAGTCTTTAATTCAATAAAAAACTCGTGCAATCACAACCACTCCACCCCTGGGGGCCCCCGGGAGGCCAGGGGGCCCCGTGGGGCCCCACCGGTGCAGACTGGGGCCCCTCTTTGGCTTTCTGGACTTCTAAATTTGTTTATTTGTTTTAATTTCAATTATTTTATTTAAAAAGAAATTAAAACTGAAAAAAAAGAAAAAGATTTGAATATACTGGGCTACAGGCCAACGCGCAGCGCCGCCTCCGACTCCGGGGGCCCCCGGAGCCCATTTGGGGGAATCTTTGCATTTATGTTTATATTTTGATCTTTATATTTATATTTTGCTCTTCTTTTACAAAATAAAATGCTTTATTTGGCATTTATTCATTAATAATGCATGCATAGCTGCCAATAATGCATGCGCAGCCGGGCTGTAGCGCCTTCGCCGCGGTCTAGGGCTTAGGGTTTAGGGTTTAGGGTTTAGGGTTTAGGGTTGGCTATGACGGCAGAAGAGGGGCAGTGGCAAGTGGTGTCTCGTCGGGGGAGACCCCGAGAAGGCAGGGGGGCCCCCGGGGGGCCCCCAAGCGGCAGCAAACTGTACCCTGGGGGGCCCCCCGGGGCCGAATTTGCTGCCGTTTTCACCCGCTATGAGGGCCCGGGGGCCCCCGTGACCGCCCTGGGGGCCCCCTGCTGCGCTGCTGCGGGGGCCCCCGAAGCAGCAGAAGCAGCAGCACTTGCTGCAGCAGTTCGCAGCTTAAAGCCTCAGCTGGAGGCCTCAGACTTTTGGCAAGAGACCAAGTCCAAACTCAAACAGGCTGTGCTGCTCGAGCTGCACGCCATGTACCCTCAGGGGGCCCCTTGGGGGGCCCCCCAGGGGCCCCCCCACGAGGGGCCCCCCCAGGGGGCCCCCCTAGAGGTCCCCCCTGGGGGCCCCCAGGGGGCCCCCGAGGCAGCTGCCCCTGAGGGCCCCCCCAGGGGCCCCCCAGAAGGCCTCAGGCCCGAGGCCCCCCCTGGGGGCCCCCCTGAGAGCCCCCCTGGGGGCCCCCCCGGGGGCCCCCCTGAGAGCCCCCCTGGGGGCCCCCCCGGGGGCCCCCCTGGGGGCCCCCCCGGGGGCCCCCCTGGGGGCCCCCCTGGGGGCCCCGAAGCGCCGTGGGGGCCCCCGTGTTCGTTTGACTTTAAGTGGGGAGGGGTGGAGTTTGGGTTGGTTTGTTTGGGGCTGGGAAGCCCCAGCAGCAGCAGCAGCAGCGACGCGCGCAGCAGCAAACTGCAGCTGGCTTTGGCGCTGCTGCTGCAGCAGCTGCTGCAGGTGCCTGGGGCCCGGACTTTCGTGGAGGACCCTGTGATGACAGCAGCAGACAAGCTGGCGGTGCAGCAGCTGTTTGCTGCTGCAGCAGCAGCAGACGCGCAGCCAGCAGCAGCAGCGCAGCAGCAGCAGCAGCAGCAGCAGCAGCAGCAGCAGCAGCGGGGGCTGCTGGTGGTCTATTTGCTGCCGCACTGCGACGCAGACCTCTACGGGGATCTTCTCAACTCAGAGCTGCGGCTGAGTCCTTTTTGCTGCCGCTGTTTTGCTGCAGCACGAAGGCCCCAAAAGCCGCTCAGCAGCAGCAGCAGCAGCTGCTGCTGCTGCTGCAGCAGCAGCAGCGACCCCCTCGGCAGCGACAGCAGCAGCAGCAGCAGCAGCAGCACAGACCTGTGCTGCACACCTTCACACTCTTCTACTTCTAATAATAGCAGGCTTAAACCTGGGGGCCCCCTTGAGTCTGGGGGCCCCCCTCACTCCGGGGGCCCCCCTCACTCTGGGGGGCCCCCTGCTGACTCTGGGGGCCCCCCTAACTCTGGGGGCCCCCCTAACTCTGGGGGCCCCCCTGCTGGCTCTGGGGGCCCCCCTGCTGACTCTGGGGGCCCCCCTAACTCTGGGGGCCCCCCTGTTGGGTCTGGGGGCCCCCCTGTTGGGTCTGGGGGCCCCCCTGTTGGGTCTGGGGGCCCCCCTAACTCTGGGGGCCCCCCTGTTGGGTCTGGGGGCCCCCCTGTTGGGTCTGGGGGCCCCCGCGGGTTTGTGCTGCTGGGGAACAGTTTGTCTCTTTACGAAATGCGGCGAAGTCTTTTTGGGGACTTCCGACTTGTTAAAAAGAACAAAGAAGCAGCAGCAGCAAACGCGCAAGCAGCAGCAGCAGCAGCAGCAGCAGCAGCAGCAGCAGCAGCAGCGGGAGGCGGCTTAGAAGCAGCAGCGCGTGGGGCGGGGACGCTCTCAGCAGCAGCGGGCGAAGGGGCGCTCAGCAGCAGCGGCTGCTGCTGCGCAGCAGCTCCTGCTGCTGCTGCTGCTGCTGCTGCTGCTGCTGCAGGGCCGTGTGCATGCGAGTGGGTGGAGCCTTCGCGGGGGGCCCTGCTGCTGCTGCTGCTGCTGCCCTTTGTGTGGGAGCAGCAGCTAGAGGCCCCTTTTGCTGCTCATCCTGCAGCATTTAATGACTTGGCCATTTGCCGGCTGAGGGCCCCCCAGACGGAGGCGGAGAGGCGGGCCCTGTGGCGGCAGCAGCTGCAGCAGCAGCAGCAGCAGCAGCAGCACGGCAGCAGCAGCAGCGCAGCAGCAGCGCAGCAGCAGCCGCGCAGCAGCAGCAGACACAGGAAGCGCAAAGGGTGGCGGAAACGCTCCCAGTAGCTGCAGACACAGCCAGAGCCGTCCACAAGGCACCCGCAGCAGCAGCAGCAGCAGCAGCAGCAGCAACGCAAGCAACAGCAGCAGCAGCACAAGCTGCGGCAGCAGCAGCCGCGCGAGCTGCAGCAGCAGCAGGAGCGCAAGTTGCAGCAGCTGCAGCAAAGCAAAAGCGGCCGTCATTACTGCTGCCGCGGCTTGCCGTGCTGCTGCTGCAGCAGCTTGCGTTCCTGCTGCTGCTGTGCTGCTGCTGCTGCTGTGCTGCTGCTGCTGCAGCTTGCGTTGCTGCTGCTGCTGCTGCTGCTGCAGCAAGAGTCCTCTCGAAACGCAGATTAATAAAAACAATACATATTTATTTATATTTATTTTTAATTATTTGAATTTCTTTTTATTTGCTTCTCCTCAATCTCAAGTTCTCCTTTGCAAACGCCGCGCTGTCTGTGCACCCCGGCGGCCGCGTCGTTTGTTGCAATTAGAAGAATTCCGCTTTTTAATTTAATTTAATTTAATTTAATTAATTTAATTTAATTTAATTTAATTATTTAATTTCAATTTAATTTTAATTTTAGATTTGGTTTCCCTTTTGGGTTTTGTTTGCCGCGTTGAAACTCTTGTTTTTGCATTTCTTGTTGGCTTTTGCAAATTGGAACATTTTATTTATTTGCATTTATTTTGTTTATTTAATTTAATTTAATTTAATTTATTTTATTTTATTTTAATTTTATTTGCTTTTGAATTTATTTCGCATTTACTTATTTCGCATCTTGTTCTGCTGTTGCAAGCGCAGAAGCGAAGTCGAATGTGAACTGAATTGCAATACAATTTAAAATAATAAATAAATAAAAAATAAATAAATAAATCAATTAATTAATTAATCTACAAAAAAATTAAATTAAATAAATATATAAATTTGAAGGCAAACTCAACTTGAGTACCAACATGAATACCGAAATTTGAATGCAGAAAAACAAGAAATACTAACGAAAAATAAAATAAAGTAAAAAATGAAAAATAAAATGAAAAATAAATAAGAAATGAAAAATAAAAGGAAATACAAATGAAATAAAATAAATAAAAAGAAATATAAACGAAAGATAAAACAAAATAAAAATAAAAATAAACACAATTAAAATAAAAACAAATGAGGATCCAAAATAAAACAAAAACAAACACAAATATAAAAACAAGTTCAGAATAATTCAATTAAAAACAAACAAACAAAACAAAAACAAATTAAAATATATTTTTCAAAACTCTTCGAAATGCCATTTTAGCGAGTTCAGAAGACATTTCCATTTTATTTTATTTTTTAAATTTTTATTTTAAAATGATTTAATTCTTAATCTCTGAATTTTAATTTCCTTTTGACTTTCTGTTTTAATTCTATTCCGGAAATGTTTTTATTTTGCTGCAGATCTGTAATAAATAAATAAATAAATAAAATTTATTTTGATGAATTATTTTTAAAATTAAAAATCGAATATTTTGCACTTCAGGCGCTCAGGTGTACGTACACCGCAGACTCTGCATGCACTGCCTCAGCACAGAGGGGCATTTCTTCGGCGCTGTATTTTGATTTGCTGCTGCTGCTGCTGCCGCTCCTGCTGCTGCTGCTGCTGCTCCCTAATCTTTTTCAATATGATATACTTTCTATTCGTCGATCTGCTGCTGCTGCTGCTGCTGCTGCTGCTGCTCCGTAATCCTATAAAATACCTTACATTCACCTGCGCTGCTGCTGCTGCTGCTCCCTAATCCTATCCAATATAAAACACCCTGTTTTCATCGCTGCAGCAGCAGCAGCAGCAGCAGCTGCTGCTGCTGCTGCTGCTGCTGTGTACTCTCTTAGGGCTCTGGCGTGACTGCCCGCACACCCCCCAAGCCCGCGGTGTCTGTACACCTCAGCGCGAACGCCACAAAGCAAAGAACTTAATACTCGAGAGTTCAGTTGCTGCAGCAGCAGCAGCAGCAGCTGCTGCTGCAGCAGCAGCAGCAGCTGGACTTCACTTTTTGGCGGGAATGACTTGCTGCTTGAGGGAGGGGGGGAGGGAACCCTCGATCTTCTGAGCCTTGGCCTTGTCAGTGACCACCAAAGTGTAAAGATGCTTCGAACATCTTATTTTGAACTTTGTTATAACTGCTGCTGCAGCAGCAGCAGCAAAGGGGGCCCCCTTGGGCCTGCGCAGGCTGCGGTGTATCACCACCTTGCGCGCGTCCTTGCGCCGCGCAGTCTGCAGAAACTCCCGGATGTCTCGCAGTTCGCGCGCCATTTTTCCTGAAATCAAAAAAATAAACTTTTATTTTTGTTTAATTAAACAAAAATTAATTAAATTTAATTCTTTTCCGCAAAATTTAATCCAAATTCCGCAAAAAACCAGCCAAATCCCACCAACCTGCACAGCGAACCCCAAACCAGCAGCAGCAGCAGCAGCAGCAGCAGAGCAGCACGCCGAATCCGCAGCAAAAACCCACGGAAACGGAGAAATTAAAAGCAATTTAAATAATTAACATCGAATTTATTTAATTGCAAAAAAGAAATAAATTCTAATTCGCAAAAATCCGCAGAAAACGGCGCGGAAACGCGCGCGCAATTTGAGGTGTACGTACACTCCAGCGGCGCAGCGCCGCGCATGCATGAAGCGGCAGAAAAGGCAAGAGAGTTAATTTTTAAAAAAGAAAACTTTAAAATAAAATGGAAATAAATGGAATTAAATGGCAATTAAAGTGAGCAGCAGATTGAGAGAATTAAGGCAATTCAAAGGCGAAAAAATAAAACGCAAATACAAGAAAAAGACCGCACACAGCAGCAGCAGCAGCAAGAGCGCAAGCAGCAGCAGCAGCAGCAGCAGCAGCAGCAGCAGCAGCAGCACGCCAAGCTCTGCGGCCAGCAGCACTTCAGCAGCAAATTGGATGGATGCATGCATGCAGCAACTGCACATATATAAGCCCCCTCAACAGGGCCATTAACACCCTGCAGCCCTTCAAAGCGACAGCTGCTGCTGCTGCAGCAGGGCCTGGGCAAGGGCTGGACATACACAGAAGGCAGCAGCTGGGGCCCCCCTTAAGCCCCCGGGCTGCAGCGGCTGCTGCTGGGGCCCCTCGGGAGTTGTGGAGAAGTAAATAAAATAAAAATGGAAAAATAAAATAAATAAAATAAATAAAAAAGAAAAAAGAATTGGAAGAAGCAGGGAGAGGCGCGGGGGGGGGCAGCAGCAGCAGGAGGCGCTGCGCAGCAGCAGCAGCAGCAGCAGCAGCAGAGCAGCAGGAGAAAGCCACTCACCTTAAATGGACAAATCTGAATTGCGAAACTCTAGAAAACCCAAACAAGTGCTGCTGCTGCTGCTGCTGCTGCAGCTGCTGCTGCTGCTGCTGCTGCAGTGTACATACACCCCATTCTGCTGCTGCCAGCCCCAGCCGCCGCCCCACGCCCAAAGCGCAGGCGCTGCATGCAGCGCGCCTCGGCGGCTGGGGAAAATGAATTAAAAAGGTTTTAAATATTAAATTTAATTCTTTTTATTTAATTTAATTCCTTTTTCGACTTTTTAAACTTCTCAACGGCCAGCTGACAGCGCCGGAGCCCCCGGGGGCATTTACTGCGCGCGCCTAATGTATGGACAGCGCGAGTGCATGCAGTGCGGAAAGTCCAGTTTTTAAATTCAAAAAAGAATAAAAAGAAATTTAAAGTAAAAAATTAATTATTTGAAGAGTTTTAGAAGCCTTTTCGATAGAAAATACGAACGAACAGACTCGCGGCTTCCTGCAAGCCCACTCCTGCATGCGCATGCATTTGCAGATCTGCACACCATTTATACATATATGTCTGTTTTTGATCTCCCTAATTGATATATTTATAAATAAATGAATAATTTTAATTTAATGAGCCATTAAATGCATTAATTTACTGTTGCTTTGTACAGCAGTGAACATATTTGCGCTGATGGCCAAGTGTATGTACAGTGCATGAAGCGCATGCAAAACTGCGCAAACAAATAAATAGATATTTACGCCAGCGCATGCAGACAATTAGAGAGTCCAGGCCTTGAGTAACTCACAAATCCCAGAAAATAAATAAAATGAATTAAAGCGCCATTTCTATTCATTCTGTGGCTCAAGTTGCATGCAAATAAATATATTCATTTTCAATTATTTATGCCCAGTCTCACCGCGGAGAGTTAGCTCACCCAAGAGGGGCCCCACAGGGTCCAAGAGGCCCCCAAGGGGGCCCCTAGAGGGCCCCAAAAGGGCCCCCAAAGGGCCCCCAGAGGGCCCCCAGAGGGCCCCCAAAGGGCCCCAAAGGGCCCCCAGAGGGCCCCCAAAGGGCCCTCAAAGGGCCCTTAGAGGGCCCCAAGAGGGTCCCAAGAGGGCCCTGAAAAGCCAGAGCAAACGGGGCCCTAGGGAGACCCTAAGGGGGCCCTTAAAGGGCCCCAATAGGTAAGTAAAAAGGGCCTTGAAGGGGCCCTAAAGCGCTCCTAAAGGGGCCCTTAAAAGGGCATCAAAGGGTATAAGAGTTGCTCTAGAAGCCCCCTGAAAGGGGCCCCTTGGGACCCCCTTGGGGCCCCCTTGGGGCCCTCTTGGGGGCCCCTTGAGGGCTCCTTGAGGGCCCCTTGGGGGCCCCTTGAGGGCCCCTTAAGGGCCCCTTGGGGGCCCTCAGGGACCCTTTAGGGGCCTCCCTGGCTGGGACAAAGAGGGCTGAGGGCCCCGGGGTCACCTGGGCTTCTAGGGGCCCCAAAATCTTTATTAAAACTTTTCTTAAAAATGAAAAAAGCCAAAAGTTCAAAAGCAAAGACAATAGTGAAGGCATCATGGCTCCTAAGGTAGCAGCAGCAGCAGCAGCAGCAGCAGCAACAGCAGCAGCAGCAGGGCAGGAAGGCGCAAGCATTAGCCGCAGGAAGAAGCAGCAGCGCATGCACTGAGCAGCTAGCGCAGCAGCACTTCTGCTGCCCCCACAAAAGTCTCACGGGGGCCCCTGCAGCTTTCCCTGGGGGCCCCCTGGGGCCCCCTGGGGCACCCTGGGGCCTCCTGGGGCCCTCTGGGGCCCCCTGGGGCCCCCTGGGGCCCCCTGGGGCCCCCTGGAGCCCCCTGGGGCCCCTGTAGTGCCTGGTAGTTGGCCCTCTGCAGCTAGCTGATGCTAGCTGCAGCTAGCTGATGCTAGCTGCAGCTAGCTGGTGCTAGCTGCAGCTAGCTGGTGCTAGCAGCACAGCTAGCTGCTGCTAGCTAGGCAGCAGCTAGCCACAATGCGCAAGGCTGGTCTCACTCATTGCTGTCCAAAATGCGCTGCTGTTGCTGCTGCTGGAGCAGCAGCAGCAGCAGCAGCAGCAGCAACGTGGCTTTACCTTTGCAGCTGCAGCCTTGGGTGCCCCCGAGAACTGCAGCAGCGGCACAAGCTGGCTGCTAGGGCTGTGTTGTTGCTGTTGCTGCTGCTGCTGCTGCTGCTGCTGCTGCTGTGATAGCCGGCTGAAGGCTTGGCATTGCCCCTGCGCTGCGCGCGGCAGCAACTGCCCATCCCTGCAGCAGCAGCAGCAGCTGTTGCTGCTGCTGCTGCGACGGCCCACCCCTGCAGCAGCAGCAGCAGCAGCAGCTGCTGCTGCTGCTGCTGCTGCGGACTCACCCCGAGAGTGGCCTGTCCCATAGAGCGCGGGCGCTCAGGCGAGGCGCTGCGCTGTCTGGCATCGAGAGAGGACTTTTTTGTTTGAATCCTATTTTGTCTTTTTGTTTATTAATTAATTTTAAATTAAATTAATTAATTAATTAATTAATTTGGGGATTTGTTGGGCTTTTGGCTGCTGGTCCGGCTGGCGGCGAGGCGAGTGGCTGGGCTGCAGCGGCTGGGTCCACTGGACAGCTGCGCGCCGGGCGCCGCTCGGGCGCGCAAAAAACCCTTTATTTCGGTTTTAAAAGAACAAATTTATGTTTTAAAACTAAAATAAATTAAACTGTTGGAAATAAACGGAAAAATAACCGGCGAATGAGCCCAGCTGCAGGCGCCCGCAGCCCGGACCAGTCAGCCGCTCGCGGCAGCAGCAGCGCTGCTGCGGCGCTCCGGCGCGCTTTCGCGCTCGTTTTAAACCCTGAAAAAGAGGGAATTAGGAAAATAAAATAAATAATTCAAATTTAAATAAAAAGAAACGAAGAAAAAGGGCATTTAGGCCGGCTTTGCCGGGCGATGCATGTGCGGCTGGCGGCTCGGCGCCGCCGGGTGTGTCTCGGCTGGCTGCGCAGCAGCAGCAGCAGCAGCAGCAGCACTTGCCTTTTCTGGTTCTTTTGTCCTTTTTTGTTTTATATTTGAAGAAAAATAAATGCATTTGCAGCAGCTGGACACACTGGGGCTCGCTAGCTGGCCAAGAGGCCCCTCTGCGCTGCTGCGGGGGCCCCATAAGGCCCCTGCTGACGACAGCCGCTGCTGCAGCAGCAGCAAAAGGGGCCCTCGCCTTTTCTTTTGCTGCTGCTCTCTTTTTGTTTGTCATTTCAGTCCATTTAGCTCTTTTTGTGGCTCGAGACGCAGCCCCGCGGCTGCAGCCGCCAACCCCAAACCCTAAACCCTAAACCCTAAACCCTAAACCCTCGAAGCAAGGGCCCCCAGCCAGCACGCGGCCACTTGCCTTGGCTAATCCTCTCAGCCTCTTCTTTTCTCTTTAGGAGGCCCCTGGCAGAGGCGGCCCTAGACGCAGCAGCAGGAGAAGCAGCAGCAGCAGCAGCAGCAGCAGCAGCAGCACGTGCTGGGCTGCGGGTTTCCGCAGCAGCAGCAGCAGCAAACTTCAAACCACAGACTGCAGCAGATTGTTTGCTGCTCCAGGAGAGTCCAGTGCGACATCCTTGGGGGCCCCGTGGCTTCGCTTAGCAGCAGCAGCGCAGCAGCAGCAGCACTGCCACTCGTACCAGCAGCCAGCAGCAGCAGCAGCAGCAGCAGCAGCAGCAGCAGCAGCAGAGCAGCTGCAATGGGCGCAGCACCCAGCGCATCCGCAGCACCTTCTCCCTCGGAATTAAGGGGCCTCTCCTGCCCCATATGTAGGCCCCAGCAGGGGGGCCCCCCCGGGGGCCCCCCTGGGGGCCCCCCTGGGGGCCCCCCTGGGGGCCCCCAGGGGGGCCCCCCCCGGCGGCCGGGGGCCCCCCGGGGGCCCCCCGGGGGCCCCCCGGGGCCCCGAAAAGAGACATATAGATGTTCAGGAATTCTGAGGGGATTCTTTCCTGCTGCTTTTGCTGCTCGACTGCAGCAAGCCATAGAACGGGGGGCCCCCGAGGCCCTTGTTGCTGTTCTCAAGGAAGACGAGGG